AAACGTAGACCAACTTGGCAACGTAGACCAATAGAAACAATTATGAAAACCCAAGCATTGTGTTAAAATCATCAGCATTCGCTGTTATTAGTTCGCCCTTCAGCACACATTTATTCGTAAAATTGTTCTCTTATGTAGGTATTATCCCTAAAGCATTAATAAAAAAGAAAATACTCTATTGTAAATCCAATGCGTGTTTACCTTATTTACTGGAATAGATACTGTAAACAAAATGTTACATTTGAGGCTCTACTCTATCCAATAAACATCAATATCAATGACTTATATGAAAAATTACACACAACTTTTTGAACCATTATTTTAGTGCCATAGTTATAAGTTGATATAAGAAAACAATATAATCTCTAATATAGTCCAAATAAAATATGGACAGCGCAATATAAACGTAACCAGCAATTACCATAAAAGCAATGAGAAGACATCTCCGACTTCTTACCAATCTCATTTAAATGGATAACAAACTAAAAGGGCATATTTGACATTAGGAAGTTGTCAAGAAAACCACCCCATTCATCTTTGTGATAACCTATAACAACCAATAAAACCAATTTTTCCTACTGCGACTAATATGTGGTATTTACCAAAGGAATCGGATAAAGAATATACACTTTATACAGCCTTAAATGTGTATATTTAATTTTTCAATAGATCAAAACTTTAAAATGGATACATTCGTGATTTGTTCAAACGGAACACTCTTTAAAAGCTTCTTAGGCAGTAGATAGTGTGATAAAAATGTATAGTCAACGTTCTCCAAATTAAGAATATTGGTACGCAGTTGCAAGTATTTAATATTTGAGGTTCCTAGCTAGTATAAAGAAAATTATAGCATTTGCATTTTCTTTTAATTATAAGATATTACCAAATATCAGACAAACTTGCGAAAAATTCTCCGACTGACTTCAAAAGACGTACACCTTTCGTGGAATATATATTAATCAAACTGCACCAGTACTTAGAAAAATCGAATATAAATGATTTGTAAAAACTTTTATTCAAAAATATTTGAAACTCTTTAATTGTAAATAGATTTTAACTCAGTTTAATTATTGAATTCTTTACTGGATATGTTAATGTTAACTGGCATATATCAAAGAAAATATTTTAGAAAATTCTATCTGACATCTATAGATGCAATCAAATATGGAGTAAAACACTCAATGTTACAATATTTTTTTATTAAGTTTTATTCTATCTTAGCAACGACTTCTTAAACTTTTTTCACTATTTTCTTAGAATGGGATACTTTATTAAACGATTAAGTCTAATGTTGACTCACATATAATAAAAAAAAAACTAAGCATTTAATACGAAACTGATTATAAACGTTTTTTTTTCATCTTCAAATGATTTTTAGACTTCAATAAGTAGAGTTATAGTAATGATTTTTAATCCTAGTTGCGATATAACTTTTCAACACTTTTTACGCTCAGCACCAGCATATCCAATTGTAATAAGAAATTGCGCCTATAGTCCTTATCATTAACGACTTTAATAAAGAAGTTTTCTATAGATTCTCTAGCTGATATCTTCAATGTATTAATATCGTTCAGAATAGCCCTCAGCGTGACACATTGAAATGCAGCGTTATGCATCAGCTGAAATTCACGCTCCATATATAGTATGAAAACCAATACGGTTGAGAAGTCCAACAACGAATTGTTCACAATATTTGGGTTAGCTTTCAAATAAATTTCTGCTTGCTGGAAATTGTCAATTTTATTATAATCGTGCAGTACATTTGCATTGTCAACCAAAAGATTTAAGAGGCGGCGAGTAATCTGCAATTTTAACCTGTCTTTATATTCCTCACCATTTGCCACGTTAGGACCGCGATATTGCGTCTTATAAATATGATATGCGACAAATGAGCAGTACAACGACTGTTGTTTTATTTGCCTGCAGAACTCTATATCAGCTGTGTTTAGTGCCATCTCATCAATAGAAAGATTTTCATAGACGTTCTGAAAGTAAAATATATGTAATTTTGTAATTTTATGTTTATTCAACGACCTACAGATAAAGGTAGATATCCATTGTTACTAACACTAACCATGAACAATGCTCTTGCTGCTCGTTCATTGAGATCAAAACGTTTCATTTTCAACGTGTGCTCCTGTTGTGCTAAATTGAACGAAACTTCGAAGAGATTCTTAACGCAATTTTTCAAGTGGACAGCACGCTGTTTAGCAAGAACAATTTCCGATTCTTCACAAACCATTTTAAGGATCTTTACAAAACCACTTCTTTGGATTTCTTTGAAGTCAATTTATAATTTTGACATAAAATTGCACGTACAATACAAACCAAATTGTTTTATATAAAACTGTCAGAACAAAATTAAATAACAAAAAATTAGCTTTCACTGTATCGAAATATAAATATTTCTGTAAATATTTCAATGTAATGAACGCAGGTTCTGTAAAAATAAACTCCGAAGTATGAGGTTTTAGCTTTTGCGAACGGTTGCATATGAAATTTAAAGAAAATCTGAAAGAGACGTAAGTTTTGTCATGCACTGAATGCACTTGCACTTGTATTTCGTGAAGTACTATAATATATATTTATAATATACAAAAAAAAAAATATATATATATAAAATGTATACATTTTAAATGCTTAAAAAGATTAAAATTTTACCTTTCTATCAAAATATAATATAAATTAACTATATAAGATGAAATATTTAGTTACTTTAGCTTTACAATTTGAAAGTAAATATCACAATAAATTCGAAAATTCACGATAAGTTTTTTAATATGATTAGCCACTTAAGATTAAAACTCGAAAATACAATCATCATCAATGTGTTAATATATAATTAAGCATAGATAAGCCTTATATGGCGTTTACGCTGCCCGCAAATGTCTCATTTCAAATCAGTCATTTGAAAGTGTTTACATTCATTTGTTCTCACATTAAACAGCTGATTTGTCAACGTGCCTGTTGCTTTAGTTTTTGGCTTGTGCTCAAAAATATATTGATGAAAGTAAAATATACCTTTAAAACTTACAATATAAACTGAAAACTGAAAGTATTTAGCTTTTTAACTTATTTTATTTTTCGATTTTGTTCACCTTAAATGAGCTGATTTATTGATTATAAGCGCATTTATATAAAAGCACTTTGTATGGTAAATTCCCTTCACTAGTGGCAATAATAAGCAAAATCGCCTAAAAGAGACAGTGTAAATGAGCTATAAATTGAAATCACATATGTTTCACTTTTTCTATCTCGTTATATGATATTAGCTCCTATAAAAAACTCTAAGTACTCGATACCTGAAAACGGAAAAAAATCAACAAACAAGGGAGTGTCAAGAATGTATAACATATATCATTGCCTTGCTTAATAAATAATGCTATTTAGTTTTTAAACCACATATTCTTGACAGAATACAAATAACATGACGACCATAGTTATATCTTTTTAGAGGTATGTAGGGTGACATTCACATGTTTGTATTCAAAAACTTTTTATTTCATTCTCTTGACATTTATGTTTTTGTGTTTTAAAACAATTTTGCAGCAGAAATTAATACATTTTTAAACACATTTACCAAAAACATTAAAATGTATCATATTATTCAAAAGTTGATCCGAATTAGAGAGGAACATCCACAAATTTACAAAAGAACTGAGAGATTATTCCAAGAACATACAAAACTAAGTCAAGGGTTGACTTTGGTGGAAGTTCGAGGTAAACAAGAATCTCACATTTTATATGTATTTTATATATAATAATATTTTCATCATATATTGTAGAAAAATATCTAAAAATGTATAATGAAGTGTTCCCAATTTCACCGGATGAAAATATTATGGTGGAGTTTCTGCTTAGCATACATTTAATGTCAACCCACCGAAAACGCGGTGCAAGTCAAATATTTTATTTGGCTGAACCAAAAATTGATATAGTATCCTTCATCCGTGACACTAACTATACCGAATAATGGTACTGAGTACCCGTATATTACATAAATCTACTTTATTCACCACTTTATTCAGACTTCTTATTATATCTGATGTATAAATATTGTGCTTTGCATAATATTAAAGATTAATAAAAATTTTTTTTAATATAAATAAATTCGTTATTAAATAACTTTCTAAATTCAAGATGTTTGTATAATATGGACTCCAAGGTAAACAGTATTCATTTAGTATTTAAACTACGCATTGTTGTATGACATCGTTAAAATAGACCTTTAAGTAATGTACTATCAAAATTTCATGATATTTAACGACATGGAAATAGAGTCCTATTAAAACCCCCACACATTGCATCATAGACCTATGTTTTCTGATATGAACGTTTTTGTTCGATCAAAGTATAAAAATCACGCCGCCGAATTGAAATAAACCTCTAAACGTCTCATAATAGTTTTAAAATAACCTTATACATATATTCAAACAAAGGCGCCAGCAATAAACAATATGTAGCATAGCCGTTCTAATAACAATTTCTCTCACAGTTCTTCAGAAAGAAGTGCATACTAATGACATAGATGTGGGTATAGGTATAAAATACCCATTAAGATAATATGAAAACGAAAACATTATATAGAGAGATAACGGTACTAAAGCAACTATAAAAACTCTTCAATTCTGAACCACCAAAACTAAGTCAAAAATTGTAAAATCTCATATTAGAGCTAGTGACTATGAATCAAATAATACCTGTTTGGATAGCCACTAATGCGGAATTTGACAATAACAAAATAATTATCAACTTTTTAAAGGAATATATACGAACTCTCTCATCGAACATAAACTTGAATGTAAGCTGTTCGAGAAGGGTTGTACCAATTCTAAAGGTCTAAGGCAGTATAAATATTTCATTTTAGGCAGTAATAAAAATGACGGTTTTGCTATAGATCTGAAGTTAGATTAATCGCAGGTTTTTTAATTAGCTATTTAGCTATCACTTTTAATACTGGGTTGAACCCAGTATTTGCCAGCAAACGAATTTAATACTATCGTTCTACTTTCATTGCATCCAGTTAGGTGAAGCATTTAGAGTCAAGGGATACACTTGAATTTGTCAACGACGACAATCAGTTCAATTTAACTTATAACACTCTCTGCAAGGTTATATTAATATAACTCATAGATTTGGAAAGTAACGCTTCTTTTCTAATAAGAATAATGATGTAAAAACAAAATAACTGAGGAAATGATTTCAAAGAAATTAATTTTTGATTTAAGCTTAAGCTCAACTTTGTAGCTTAAGTTACTTTCTTGTTAATCAAATAATTTTACTTTATTCAGACTAATTCGTCTAAATTTGATTAGATTACTTCGTCTAGCCGAAGGAACTGTAGAACATTAATTGATGTATTGACAGGTCACTTTCTGGTCGTATCACATGCATAATATCACAACTAAATTCACAACTAATTCGCAGTGATGCTTGTAGAAAATGTAACGAGCCGGATGTAAATGAAACCTTGAAGCATCTGCTGTTCAACTGCCCGGCTCTCTCGAGAACTTCACAAAAATACACAGGCACTGTCAGTTTTACCGGATTGAGCACATACCTGAGGTTTCTGTCGAAATCCTAATAACACTCATAACCTAAGCGATGCACAGTATTGCTAAAAAATTAAGACTCTGGTCTAGTATCGCAATAGACCTTAATGATCTACGCGTGGCCTTTTTGGTCCACCAGCATAACCTAACCAAATCTAGACTATCATATTAGACAGTATCTATTTATGTGGTGCTTACATTATATCCAATTCTAGACAACCAAGTATGAATTGGTTTATGTAGTCACAATTTAACAATAAATGCAAGCGATTTTAAAAATTTTTTTAACATGTCGTTTGTTCACGCTTTCAAATACGCTTTCAAATTTGGTTTACAAATTTTGGAAATAAATGCAGCAATCTTCATTCTCAACTTTCTTTTTTGATCACAGATTAGATGAAAACAGAATTTTTGACTGATATTTTGATTAATTTACATAGAGAACAACAGCGATTATACTATAAGTAATTGTTTCAATAGAAATTCAATGTATTGACAACCAGAGAACTCCAATTGAATTCATTTTTCCACCAATCTTACTAAGTAGCTATATCTAAATTTATCATATCTAAATTTTTTTTTACCTTCTACTTGAGTATTATATCATCTTTCATATGGTACTTAAGGTATGATGCCTGATAACAAAACGGCTTGTGTGTTCCAATATATCTCTGAATAGGTTTCTGTGAATTATTTTATTTACACACAAAAATAAGTCACATTTGCGCAGCTCAATATAAATTAATTGTGTTTGTAAATAAATTTGCATTTTGTACTAAAATAGTTATTTTATTCAAATCAATTTCTTTTATAATAATAAGGCTATTTATTTAATATGTTTTCGTGATTCACCTCCAGTTGCGAAAAAACTACAATTTCTTATCAAGATTTAATTTATAAAGTAAAACCTATATGAACGGAAACCCCAGTCCCCCTTATAGGATTCTTTTCCCCTTATTTTTTTGAAATCGAATTTTTTTGATGTCCTTATTTGAAGCAACTTAGCCTCTCTTAACCAAATAGCCCCCATTACATCTAAAATATAAAGTTTTCATTCTTTTATTCTAACTTACTTATTTCATATAGATTTATTCCTACCATAATTAATTAATTACAGAGGCTCTAAAGTATCTTTTTTGTATGCATGATGTGAAATGAATAATTTGTTATTTTAGTTTACGCAGTTATATTGAAGAATATTCTATATTTTATTAATTAGGTAAATACATTCATCGTAAATAAATTATTTGTGATTTTAGGTAGAACCTATTGGACTATATTTAATATTATAAAGAAAAAAAGAAAACCATGTCTTGAATAAAAACTTTTATTTAAAATTTATTAAAGTTGATTAAACTGATAATTAAAAGAACAGTGTTGAAAGAATTCAGTGTTGAATGCTACTATCAAGGATTAAATAATTTCTCAACTTCCTTTAACTTTAGTAGATAATATTGAACTTCGTTCTCCCCGTTTCGGGTGCACGCCATATTTGGAATATTGAGTAATATTTCCTTCATTATATAATTGAACTCTTGAGGTATATGCGAATTGGTTCGCATGTAGAACTCAGCTAGGGAAAAAATGTAGTATATAATGCAATATAAGAAAAGTAATAAAATTATTTTACACTTGTAACTAAAGGTCTTTTCTGGACGACCCTAGTTAATATTGCTTATAAAATATATTACAATGGTGTTTTATTGTTATTGCTTATGATAACAATTAGTGTTTTATACATACCCTGTAGCTGAGATATAGTAAAGGCGCGCCTTGTGTCATAATAATCCTCAAAAATTTTCGTGATATTTTCAAGTACGCCAGGATACGCCTTACTCAGTTCCGAAATATAATTTTTTAAGCGATACATATCTATGGCGATATGCGATTTCTAATTTCTAAAATTTAAAAAACGAATAAATTTTTATAAATTTAATCGACGTTTATAACAAAACTCAGGTTACTTTATAAAATTTTATATATAAACAATGCGATATAAAAGTACGAGAAAAATCACCACTGAATTTCTATAATATTTATTAAATAAATCAGTTAAGACCAACTACGCAAACGTAGACCAACTTGGCAACGTAGACCAATAGAAACAATTATGAAAACCCAAGCATTGTGTTAAAATCATCAGCATTCGCTGTTATTAGTTCGCCCTTCAGCACACATTTATTCGTAAAATTGTTCTCTTATGTAGGTATTATCCCTAAAGCATTAATAAAAAAGAAAATACTCTATTGTAAATCCAATGCGTGTTTACCTTATTTACTGGAATAGATACTGTAAACAAAATGTTACATTTGAGGCTCTACTCTATCCAATAAACATCAATATCAATGACTTATATGAAAAATTACACACAACTTTTTGAACCATTATTTTAGTGCCATAGTTATAAGTTGATATAAGAAAACAATATAATCTCTAATATAGTCCAAATAAAATATGGACAGCGCAATATAAACGTAACCAGCAATTACCATAAAAGCAATGAGAAGACATCTCCGACTTCTTACCAATCTCATTTAAATGGATAACAAACTAAAAGGGCATATTTGACATTAGGAAGTTGTCAAGAAAACCACCCCATTCATCTTTGTGATAACCTATAACAACCAATAAAACCAATTTTTCCTACTGCGACTAATATGTGGTATTTACCAAAGGAATCGGATAAAGAATATACACTTTATACAGCCTTAAATGTGTATATTTAATTTTTCAATAGATCAAAACTTTAAAACGGATACATTCGTGATTTGTTCAAACGGAACACTTTTTAAAAGCTTCTTAGGCAGTAGATAGTGTGATAAAAATGTATAGTCAACGTTCTCCAAATTAAGAATATTGGTACGCAGTTGCAAGTATTTAATATTTGAGGTTCCTAGCTAGTATAAAGAAAATTATAGCATTTGCATTTTCTTTTAATTATAAGATATTACCAAATATCAGACAAACTTGCGAAAAATTCTCCGACTGACTTCAAAAGACGTACACCTTTCGTGGAATATATATTAATCAAACTGCACCAGTACTTAGAAAAATCGAATATAAATGATTTGTAAAAACTTTTATTCAAAAATATTTGAAACTCTTTAATTGTAAATAGATTTTAACTCAGTTTAATTATTGAATTCTTTACTGGATATGTTAATGTTAACTGGCATATATCAAAGAAAATATTTTAGAAAATTCTATCTGACATCTATAGATGCAATCAAATATGGAGTAAAACACTCAATGTTACAATATTTTTTTATTAAGTTTTATTCTATCTTAGCAACGACTTCTTAAACTTTTTTCACTATTTTCTTAGAATGGGATACTTTATTAAACGATTAAGTCTAATGTTGACTCACATATAATAAAAAAAAAACTAAGCATTTAATACGAAACTGATTATAAACGTTTTTTTTTCATCTTCAAATGATTTTTAGACTTCAATAAGTAGAGTTATAGTAATGATTTTTAATCCTAGTTGCGATATAACTTTTCAACACTTTTTACGCTCAGCACCAGCATATCCAATTGTAATAAGAAA